CCGCGGGGGGGCGGGCTGGAGCCGTGCCAGGTGCAGGGTCTGCTGGCTGGGTGCTGGCAGGCTTGCACCTGGCACGGGCACCGTAGCCAACCCGTGCCCCTTCAAGAGGTCCGGGGCCGGGAGGGGGGCATACAAGTTTCCCTGGTGTTGGCCAGAGTGGCCACCAGGGAAAGCTGGGGAGGGCTAGTCTCCCACTAGTTTGAATTAAGGGGCTACACACCCCTTAATTCGAACTAGTAAGTTCGAACTAGGCTTAGTCCTCGTAGAATGAGGTTTACCTAGTTCGAACTAAGCGCTCCGCTAGTTCGAATTAAGTTCGAACTAGCGGAGCGCTAGTGTAGCGCCTATCAAAGTTAATTCGAACTAATGTCCGTTAGTTCGAATTAACTTTGTAGTGTAGACATACCCTAATTAACCCCCAAAGTGAAACATCCGGTGTTGTGTTGCCTGGCACACAAGACTATTGTTCTGTAGCAGGTCCAATGTTTGTGTCCTGGGGAGATGGAGTATTTCCAGTGCTGCGGTTCCTGTACTTACATGTCCAATAACTGTCTTCTGGAGGTTAGGTCCATCAATGGCTATTGGCCAGGATGGGTAGGAAAGGTGTCTCTAGCCTGTTTCTCTGGAAGTGGGTGACAGGGGAGGAAGCATGTGAGGATGACCTGTTGTGTTCCCTCCCTCTGGGGCATCTGGGATTGGCCACTGTCGGCTGACAGGATACTGGGCTTGATGGACCGTTGGTCTGACCCAGTGTGGCTGTTCTGATGTTCTTATGCTTCCCAGTTAACATGAAAGGGGAAGCAGGTTTAAGTAGAAACAAGTCACATGAAAGCTGGTTGCATTTGCAGCTGGCTCTACTACACTTTTTCCTCCTGCTCTAGAGCTGATGTGCTCCATTTGCCCCTATTCCTCCAACCTTTAAGGCAACAGCCTACACTCTGTTAGATATGGAGCCCCTCCCAAGAGGTATAGCGCACTCTTCCCTTCCACTGACTTCAATGGGGGCCCTGATTCTCAAGGGTATTTACGCTCTTACCTTCCATTGAAATCAGTGGACATTAGGAACCTAAATACCTTTGATGAACTGGTCCTTGGTGCCAAATAGAACGGGCCCCTAGAGCCAGGGTCAAATTCTCTGCCGGCAAATGAACCGCCATAGAGAAGTTGGCCACCAACTAGTTTCTTTCACATCCCCCATTAGCTGCCTGTTGCTATAGGTCCAAGAGGAGTTTATGTGCGTACAGGGGCTGCACACCGGTGGGGATTATCAGCTACGCATATTGACTCTGCCGTGGGAGCATGGATGTCTGATCAGGCAATGAGTTAGTCCCGTTGCGGCTGTTCCCAAAGTGCCTGTTAGAAAGGGATGCCCAGCTTCCCTGCCTCTGCTGCCCGTTCTATGAAAATGACAACCAGCAAACAGAGCTTTTCTTTTTATTAGCTTTCCGAGGCAATGCAGGAGAGCCTGGCAAACGACGACTGGATTAGCAGCAGATGAATGGTTGCCAACCGCCCAGGACAGCTTTTGGCACCTTACAAAGCAAAAAAACAAAACTGATCCGTAGCCACCAGTCATGGGACAAAAGGAAAAAACGAGTCTGCTTTGGAATCTGTTTGCCTGAGGGCTCCCTCTGGACCTGCTTTTGCCCACCACCGGATATATGAAGTGTCCTGCAGCAGCTGCCACTGCACATCATAGGACTTCACTGGGTGAGTGACCGTTAGCTGTCTCATTTGTGTTTTCTTTTGGTTTGATCACTCACAATTGTTCCACAGGAGAACAGGGCAGCTCTGTTGTCAAGTCAATCAGTTTCATTCCTCCCTGTCCACTCGTAGCTTCTGTGAGGTGTCAGCTTTAGGGCCAGATGTACCAGCTTGGACCTTTTCCAGATTTTTTTTGTTTTGTTCCATTTTGTTTTAAATGAGGCAAATCAACCAAGGTTTCAACAAGATGGCCCTCTCCACACTAAAGATCTTATAAGACCTTAAAACCAAAGAACAACATTGTTGTCTCAGCTGCTTTACTAGTTCCCAGCTGCCTCCACCCACCTTACCTTGACTACATATATGTTCCCTTTATGAAGTCTATGCAGCAAAATAAAAGTGATGTATGAAAACACGATGATGGCTCGCTGACCAAGGCATGAGTTTACGAAATCGTGCCTGTGCTGTGTTTCTGGCAGAGCCACATTATATCAAGCAGAGAGGTGGTCAAAAAAGCTGAGCAAGTTTAGAAGAGTCTAGGGAAGCATCAGACAAAGCGGGCTCCAGCCCACCAAAGTTTATGCCCAAATAAATGTGTTAGTCATTAAGGTGCCACAGGACTCCTCAGTGATTTTATGTCTACAGAAACTACCCACTACAGCACTCCTCCTTCCAACACACATGAGGCCTTCTGGCGAGTTCACGAGACACCAGTCTGTCATGCCATCAGCATGCTGCTAACCCCAGCTTGCTATCTCCTCTCAGCAGCTCTCCCAGAGACGTCACAATGCCCGAGAGACGGAAAAGCTTTTGGGTGGGAAACAGCCGGCTCAAACATACACTAGGAAACACAGAGCTTATACTGTTAGGCAGAGGGAACCACTAAGCAGGGTCTGAGACATCACCACAGACGCTTGCCCAAGTGAGCTAGCACGGGCTAGCCAGGGGGTTTTAATTGCAGTGTAGACATGCTAAATGAGATCTTGACCCCAGTCTCTATCCAAGGCACCCACCTGCTTATTGCCAATTGCAGTACAAAGCCTAAGATCTTATGAAACTTATCTCTGCCCCTTCTTAGTGCCAACATGAGAAATACCTTCTTCTGTTTTTGGCTTGTGGGGGAATTATTCCAATTCTTCTCAGAGCAGGACACGGGCACCGGGATTGACAGGGGCACCATCAGTGGTCGATTTAGCAGGTTCTTACTAGATCTACTAAATCAAAGCCCGGGAGATATATCTCCCATTCTGCTAGCTGGGAACCACCAGAATGTAGTGAGTCTTGGCTCCCCCCCACCACTAGGAGTAACAAACTAATTGCACCATCTTTTCACTGCCAAAGGTGCAATAGGCCACAGCATCCCCTGCTGGTCCCATAGGGCAACACAGCCAGACAGAAGACCAGGGATGTGACATAACCTCTCTGCCCCCCCAATTTGGGTACCCTGTAGCAGCCAAAAGCACATTACATCAACACTCATACCTTCTGCTAGATCACCATTCAATTCCAGATGGAATTAGAAGTCTTGGTCCTAAGCTATAAGGACATTAGTAGGCAGGACCTGTCTTTCTCAGGTACAATAACAAGACACTACATTTTACATTGACTACAAAACCTGGTTCCAGGCCCTGAGCATTCAAGGCCACCGGTTTTAAACTTGAGTGCTTAAAGCTGCCCACCTAAATGGTCTGATTGCCACGGGTGACTCCAATACAATAATGAGACATTGACTTTAGTAGCGACTGAAGGGATGGAGTGCCTTTGCATAGTTGGCCTGTGTTTGGTTGGCTAAATGTGGACTCAGATATCTAACTTTATGCTCCAAGCTGTGAAAATGTTTGGCCCATTTGTTGTATTAATTAAATAGGCAGGATGTATTCTGAAGGCTTGAGAATACTCGAAAGCACAGATACATCTTTGTATGTATTAGGGCTGATTGAAATTTCTCCAACGTATTTTCAACTGAAAATTGGGTGTTTGATTACAAATGTTGATGTAAAGTGTTCAATTTCCTTGAAAATGTATGACTTTTCATCAGAAAACTGGAAATCCAAAATTTGATTTTTTTGTTGGCAATTTTCAAATAAAGATATTTGGGTTTTGATTGCTGAAAACAATTATCATTTTTTGGATATTGCTTTATTTTATTACAACTTAACATTTTCTGCTGGGGAAATCTTTTTTACCAGGAGTAATATTTCTACACATACAGAGACTGTCTAATAGTCTTAGAATTTTTCTTACCAATTTTCTAACAACTCACAAAGGAACTATGCAAATAAATAAAATAAAATCTTATAAAAAGAAGCATTTATTAAAAAAGCAAAATTTTTCTCTTTGATAAAAATTATCTTTTTATCAAAGATTTCAAAATTCTCACTTGTTTTTTTCCTAACTTTCCAGTTAATAAATGCAGTAGCATCACATGCCCTGAGCCAATGAATGTAATGTAGGTTGGCATAACACAGCACAATACAACACATATGTGACCTTCAAATAAAACAGGGTTTACTTTTTTAAAAGTTTTCCACTGTTTGTAATGCTGTTAAAAAATAAACATTTTATCAAAAATGATCATACGTGTTACTGACAAATTGAGAAAGGTAAAGACAGTGAACAGATTGTCATTTCCCTGGCTCAGGAATGTGATTGCAGCAGTGTGACAGCGTAAAGAGTTTGCTGATCTCCAGAGAACCCAGCCCCGGTCTACACTAGAGAGGAAGGGAGACCTAAGATGTGCAATTCCAGCTACATTAATTGTGTAGCTGGAGTTGACATATCTCCATATGAGGAGAGGTTAAAGAGACTGGGACTTTTCAGTTTAGAAAAGAGGAGACTGAGGGGGGATATGATAGAGGCCTATAAAATCATGAGTGGTGTGGAGAGGGCTGATAAAGAAAAGTTATTTATTAGTTCCCATAATAGAAGAACTAGAGGACACCAAATGAAATTAATGGGTAACAGGTTTAAAACTAATAAAAGGAAGTTCTTCTTCACACAGCGTGTTGTCAACCTGTGGAACTCCTTGCCAGAGGAGGCTTTGAAGGCTAGGACTATAATAGAGTTTAAAGAGAAGCTGGATAATTTCATGGAGGTTAGGTCCATAAAAGGCTATTAACCAGGGGATAGAAATGGTGTCCTTGGCCTCTGTTTGTCAGAGGCTGGAGAGAGATGGTAGGAGACAAATTACTTGATCATTGTCTTTGGTCCACCCTCTCTGGGGCACCTGGTGCTGGCCACTGTCGGTAGACAGGATACTGGGCTAGATGGACCTTTGGTCTGACCCAGTACGGCCGTTCTTATGTTCTTATGTTCTTATCTTAAATCCCAATCCACACAGTGGGAGGCTGATGGGAGCAAACACTTCCATTGGCTTCCCTTACTCCTCACAAGGAGCAGGAGTACCGGCGTCAACAGGGATGCACTCTGAGTTCGATTTAGCACGTCTTCACTAGACCCACTAAATCGAACCCCGGAAGATCGAGCGTGGCAGTGTTGATCTTCCCTGTAGCATAGTCATGCCCCAGAGTTTCTGAGGGGTGGGGCCAATGTCCCAGTGTGGTGGGAAGTTTCTTTGACACTGTGGTATTGTTTTTGTAACATAGCTTTGGAATGTCCAATTGTTTATGAGTTTGGGGCCAACCCCTGCCACTTTGACTCATGACTGTTACCTTAGCCTTAGTCCATGCAAAATCACAAAGGCCTAACTGTGGGGCACACTGTGTTGCAATGGCGCCCAAGAAGGGGCACACAACATCCGTCAGGCTAAAACCTGGCCATGCAGTAGGATGCCTTTCTTTAGCACAAATAATTCAGTCTGCAGACTATTATTTCATGAGTCATCATTTCTGATGTATGTAATTCTCAGTGGTAAATGCAAGGGTGCACCACATTTGTGTGGAATGCAGATAACTGGAATTTGGATGATGTCCCTCAAAATAAAGGACATCTGAGAAGCAAAAGCAGTCCCAGTGTTTATCATAGTACAACTGTTCAAGGAGGAAGGCCTACTTACTGTAAATCTAGGTAGCAGAAAACAGCCTTAATGTTTGAATTAGACGAATGACATAAACAGAAGTAATATATTCATACTCTCAACCTAGACACCTTTTCTCATAGACTCATAGACTTTAAGGTCAGAAGGGACCATTATGATCATCTAGTCTGACCCCCTAAACAATGCAGGCCACAAAATCTCACCCACCCCTCCTAGAATAATCCTCTCACCTATATCTCAGATATTGAAGCCTTCAAATACTTTGAAGACCCCAAGATGCAGAGAATCCTCCAGCTGTGATCTGTATCCCATGCTACAGAGGAAGGCGAAAAACCTCCAGGGCCTCTGCCAACTTACCTTCCTTCCTCCCCCTTCCCACCCCCCCGCATCCTCCTTCTGTTCTGCAATGTGATTTGTCCTTTTCATATTTGTTCATTTTTTTAAATTGTACCCCCCCGCATCCTCCTTCTGTTCTGCAATGTGATTTGTCCTTTTCATATTTGTTCTTTTTTTTAATTGTATCCTTTGGTATATATGGTTGTGACTACTTTCTTCCACTATTTGATCTGAGGAAGTGGGTCTGGCCCACGAAAGCTCATCATCTAATAAACCATCTTGTTAGTCTTTAAAGTGCTACATTGTCCTGCATTTTGCTTCAACTACCCCAGACTAACACGGCTACATTTCTATCACTATTCTACATGCAAGGCACTACATTTAGCCGTTTGGAATGGAAATCCATCAACCATATGAAGAAACTCGCACAGATACAGACAGACATCATCTTTCTATCCAAGTGCAAGAAAATGGACATCGTACCCAAAGGACTGAAAGTGAACAATCCACTAAGATCAACATACTTCACTGACTACAGTGAAAGACTCTGCCTCACACTATCCAAGAAATTAAGAAACCACCTGATAAGTATTTTATACAAGAAACAGAAAACCATCAAGAATGACATTTCTAACTTAGATCGTCTCATCTCAAGACAAACATCCACACCGAC